CTGCAGAACAGCGGAAATTAGCTACAAAAAAATATAAAATACATGTAGATGAAATGAAAGAACGAGCCTAAATTAGCAGAAAGAACACTTTTGCTGAATTAGCAGAAATGAGCACAAAACATAGAAAATTAACTTTAAAAAGCATGAAATTAGCAAAAAATTGCTGAAAAGGGGAAAAAAGAAGCTTAAACTGCCAGAAGGAAGCAGAAAGAACTGAAATGAGCTAAAAAATATATTTAAAAAAGTGGAATTAGCTGAAAAAGCTAAAATTAGCATCAAAAGAGCTAAATAATAGCTGAAAGAGACAAAAAAGGTGAAAAATTGCAGAAAAACACTGAAAGGAGCATAACGAGCTGAAATTAGCAGAAATAAGTTAATTATGCTGAAAGTAACAGCAATTACCAAGAAAATCATGAGAACAGCTAAAATGAGCTAAAATAATGCTAAAAAAGTAGCTGAAAAGTTAGCTTAAATTAGCAGAAAGAACATGTTTGCCCAATTATCCTGGAAGAAGCAGAAATGATCACACACTGGAAATTATCCAAAAAAGTAGAAATTCACAAAAAAATAACTGAAAGTAGTTTTAAAAAAGCAGAAAGACACGGAAAATAGCAGAAGGAAGTGTAGAGAGCTTATTTTGCTGAATTAGGCTGACAAAAGTTGAAACGAATTAAAAAACGTGGAAGTAGCTGAAAAGCTAAAATTAGCATAGAAACAGCTAAATATTAGCTGAATCAGCAGAAAAGGCTGAAACGTGCAGGAATAAGCTGAAAGGAGCACAACAAGCTGAAATTAGCAGAAAGAAGTTAGAAGAAGCACAAAAAATGTGCATTTCCAGGTCTCTCTTGTAAATGAGTCCCTGAGGCTCAGTGGGATTAACCTGTTGAAATAAAGGTTGAATGTATTTACTGAACATGGCTCAGACATGATGGTTAAACCTTCTGCAGCTGCATTAAAACATAAAGCATCCCTGTCAAACTCTGACAGTGATTTTATGGGTCTGTTGTCTGCTCTGAAGGTGTGTGTTGTGGGGGGGGGGGGGGGGGGGG